AAACAGTTTGTTGAAAGGATAATGCTAAAGACCAAATGCTAACTGCTGCAGGTAACTGGTACTGGCTCTCACTCCAGGACCAGTCCAGGACCAGTCCAGGACCGGTCTAGAACCAGTCCAGGACCAGTCCAGGACCAGGACCATGAAAAGAGGGTTGTCACTGCCGTAGAAAGTTAGTCCCTTAATACCCTTAATTTATTTTAAAAGATGGAACTGCTCATAATTCTACAATAAAGGATTTTTATTAATAATAGTGATATAAAAATAAATCACAGACACAAAAAGTCACAAAGTTATAAAGATACAGACGCTGAGTCATTCCCACAGACGCTGAGTCATTCCCACAGACGCTGAGTCTTTCCCACAGACGCTGAGTCATTCCCACAGACGCTGAGTCATTCCCACAGACGCTGAGTCTTTCCCACAGACGCTGAGTCATTCCCACAGACGCTGAGTCATTCCCACAGACGCTGAGTCATTCCCACAGACGCTGAGTCATTCCCACAGACGCTGAGTCATTCCCACAGACGCTGAGTCATTCCCACAGACGCTGAGTCATTCCCACAGACGCTGAGTCATTCCCACAGACGCTGAGTCATTCCCACAGACGCTGAGTCATTCTTCCCCATCACAGGTACTTCACACTTCGATCCTTGTTCTAAATCTGATTGCGATGATCCCTTTTCTCCACAGTCCCTATGGTCCGCCTCCTCCCATGTACCAGGCGCCACAAGGCCCGCCCCCCCAGCAGTACCAGCCAATGCCACAGCAGTACCAGCAGCAGCCGCCTCCCATGGCCCCGCCCACTCAGCAGAGCTCAATCCAGATTCCACTTGGGTCCGTCCCACCCAAGGTCGTGAGCACGGCCTGCATCTACCCCTCCCAACCAGGTACGCGGTTAACTAATATATATATATATATATATATATATATATATTTAGCATATACATATATACACATCAGTATACATACAGACTCAGACCTGTCTCAGTCCATATACAGACTCAGACCTGTCTCAGTCCACATACAGACTCAGACCTGTCTCAGTCCACATACAGACTCAGACCTGTCTCAGTCCATATACAGACTCAGACCTGTCTCAGTCCACATACAGACTCAGACCTGTCTCAGTCCACATACAGACTCAGACCTGTCTCAGTCCACATACAGACTCAGACCTGTCTCAGTCCACATACGGACTCAGACCTGTCTCAGTCCATATACAGACTCAGACCTGTCTCAGTCCACATACAGACTCAGACCTGTCTCAGTCCACATACAGACTCAGACCTGTCTCAGTCCACATACAGACTCAGACCTGTCTCAGTCCACATACAGACTCAGACCTGTCTCAGTCCACATACGGACTCAGACCTGTCTGTCTTACCACCCTCAGGTGAGTGAATAATAACATTTCCCTGTGTTCCCACAGCTCCTGCCCTGGCCCCTCCCCAACCTCAGCCCTGCTCTCCAGCCCCTGTCCCCGCCCCTACCCCCTCCGCCCCCTCCCCCTCTAACCGCCCCCCCTGGGTGACCGATACCAACTTTGCCGACAAGTTCGACCCAGGCAAGATGACCACCATGACTTCAAAGGTGGTGCTCCCCCAGGGCGCCCCCCCTCCCCCTTCATACATCCCCAACCCCTCACCTGCTGGCCCCCATGCTCCCTCCGCCGGCCCCCCCGCTCCTAGCCCTGCCCCCGTGAACTCGAGCCCCGCCCCTTTCCTCCCAGTGGCCAGGGGCGTGGCTCAGCGCGCCGAGAGGTTTGCAGCCAGCAGCAGGACGCCTCTGTGCGGCGCCTGCAACAGCATCATCAGGTGAGGGAGGGGCTAATGCTAACAACAGCATCATCAGGTGAGGGAGGGGCTAATGCTTACAATGCTAACATCAGCATCATCAAGTGAGGGACGGGCTAATGCTAACACACAACGTCCTTTCATAAAATCTCAGGTCTGAGGAAAACCAGCCACAAAGACGTACATATATGTGGTCCTCATACTGTATGTGTGTGTTTCAAGGGCCCTCTGGTCCTCATACTGTATGTGTGTGTTTCAAGGGCCCTCTGGTCCTCGTACTGTATGTGTGTGTTTCAAGGGCCCTCTGGTCCTCATACTGTATGTGTGTGTTTCAAGGACCCTCTGGTCCTCATACTGTATGTGTGTGTTTCAGGGGCCCCTTCCTGGTGGCCCTGGTCCTCATACTGTATGTGTGTGTTTCAGGGGCCCCTCTGGTCCTCATACTGTATGTGTGTGTTTCAGGGGCCCTCTGGTCCTCGTACTGTATGTGTGTGTTCTCAGGAGCCCCTTCCTGGTGGCCCTGGTCCTCATACTGTATGTGTGTGTGTTTTAGGGGCCCCTTCCTGGTGGCCCTGGTCCTCATACTGTATGTGTGTGTTTTAGGGGCCCTCTGGTCCTCATACTGTATGTGTGTGTTTCAGGGGCCCCTTCCTGGTGGCCCTGGGCCGCTCCTGGCACCCAGAGGAGTTCCACTGTCATTACTGTCACATGTCTTTGGCCGACGTCAGCTTCGTGGAGGAACAGAACAACGTTTACTGCGAAAACTGCTACGAAGAGTTCTTTGCTCCGACCTGCGCTCGCTGCAACTGCAAGATCATGGGGGTGAGGCACATGATGAGGCACATGATGAGGCACATGAGGAGACACATGATGAGGCACATGATGAGGCACATGATGAGGCACATGATGAGGCACATGAGGAGACACATGATGAGGCACTTGATGAGGCACATGAGGCACATGATGAGGCACATGAGGCACATGAGGAGACACATGATGAGGCACATGATGAGGCACATGATGAGGCACATGAGGCACATGATGAGGCACATGAGGCACATGATGAGGCACATGAGGCACATGATGAGGCACATGAGGCACATGATGAGGCACATGATGAGGCACATGAGGAGACACATGATGAGGCACATGATGAGGCACATGATGAGGCACATGAGGCACATGATGAGGCACATGATGAGGCACATGATGAGGCACATGATGAGGCACATGAGGAGACACATGATGAAGCACATGATGAGGCACATGATGAGGCACATGATGAGGCACATGAGGCACATGATGAGGCACATGATGAGGCACATGAGGCACATGATGAGGCACATGAGGCACATGATGAGGCACATGATGAGGCACATGATGAGGCACATGAGGCACATGATGAGGCACATGATGAGGCACATGAGGCACATGAGGCACATGATGAGGCACATGAGGCACATGATGAGGCACATGAGGCACATGATGAGGCACATGAGGCACATGATGAGGCACATGATGAGGCACATGATGAGGCACATGATGAGGCACATGAGGCACATGATGAGGCACATGATGAGGCACATGAGGCACATGATGAGCCACATGAGGCACATGAGGCTCAGACACTGACTCACTAAACAACAGTTCATCAGGATCAGTGCCGTAGGAGAGCCGGTTTCATCTAGTTACTGTTTAATTTTACTTTAAGCTAATTCTGTTTAAATGTATCGTGTGTGTTGACCTCTGTGTGTGTGTGTGTGTGTGTTGACCTCTGTGTGTGTGTTGACCTGTGTGTGTGTGTGTGTGTGTGTTGACCTGTGTGTGTGTGTTGACCTCTGTGTGTGTGTGTGTGTTGCAGGAGGTGATGCACGCTCTGAGGCAGACGTGGCACACCACATGCTTCGTGTGCGCAGCCTGTGGAAAACCATTCGGGAACAGTCTCTTCCACATGGAGGACGGAGAGCCCTACTGCGAGAAAGGTGAGAGACCTACTGTGTAAGAGAGAGCCCTACTCCGAGAAAGGTGAGAGAGACCTACGGTGTGAGAGAGAGCCCAACGGTGTGAGAGAGACCTACTGTGTGAGAGAGAGCCCAACGGTGTGAGAGAGATCTACTGTGTGAGAGAGAGACCTACTGTGTGAGAGAGAGCCCTACTGTGTGAGAGAGAGACCTACTGTGTGAGAGAGAGCCCTACTGTGTGAGAGAGAGACCTACTGTGTGAGAGAGAGCCCAACGGTGTGAGAGAGACCTACTGTGTGAGAGAGACCTACTGTGAGAAAGGTGAGAGAGCCCTACTGCAAGACCTGCTATACACATATACATATACAGATATACACACACACACACATATACACACATACACACACACATACACACATACACATATACATATATAAATACACACATACACACACACACACACACATACATATATAAATACACACATACACACACACACACACACACACACATATACACACATACACACACACATACACATATACATATATAAATACACACATACACACACACACACACACACACATATACACACATACACACATATACACATACACACACACACACACATATACATACATACACACATATACACATACACACACACACATATACACACATACACGCACACACACACACACACACACATACACACATACACACATACACACACACACACATATACACATACACACACACACATATACACACATACACACACACACACACATACACACATACACACATACACACACACACACATATACACACATACACACATACACACATACACACATATACACACACAGTATATACTATGATGCCAATGTTGTGTTTTTGCCACATTATATTGTTCCACAACAAAAACAGACCTGGAGTTGTGTTTGAATCCGTTCATGCTGACATAACATGTAGCTCCGCCCCTTTTGTCTATAAGGTCTCAGTCTCAAAGTCACTGCACCACAATGACATCACACCTCAAAACAAAGCCACACGTCTGAGTTTGTGTCCGGTCATTTTCTAATAAAAAAGAAAAGAAAAGCAGAGGGCGCTACAGGCTTCACCCTCTGTTCTGTGGTTCCAGACTACATCGCCCTCTTCAGCACCAAGTGTCATGGCTGTGACTTCCCCGTGGAGGCCGGAGACAAGTTCATCGAGGCTCTAGGACACACCTGGCACGACACCTGCTTCGTCTGCGCCGTAAGACCCAGGACTGAGGCTCTAGACCCAGGACTGAGACTGTAGACCCAGGACTGAGGCCGTAGACCCAGGACTGAGGCCGTAGACCCAGGACTGAGGCCGTAGACCCAGGACTGAGGCCGTAGACCCAGGACTGAGGCTGTAGACCCAGGACTGAGGCCGTAGACCCAGGACTGAGGCCGTAGACCCAGGACTGAGGCTGTAGACCCAGGACTGAGACTGTAGACCCAGGACTGAGGCCGTAGACCCAGGACTGAGGCCGTAGACCCAGGACTGAGGCCGTAGACCCAGGACTGAGGCTGTAGACCCAGGACTGAGACTGTAGACCCAGGACTGAGGCCGTAGACCCAGGACTGAGGCCGTAGACCCAGGACTGAGGCCGTAGACCCAGGACTGAGGCTGTAGACCCAGGACTGAGGCTGTAGACCCAGGACTGAGGCCGTAGACCCAGGACTGAGGCCGTAGACCCAGGACTGAGGCTGTAGACCCAGGACTGAGGCCGTAGACCCAGGACTGAGGCTGTAGACCCAGGACTGAGGCTGTAGACCCAGGACTGAGGCTGTAGACCCAGGACTGAGACTGTAGACCCAGGACTGAGGCTGTAGACCCAGGACTGAGACTGTAGACCCAGGACTGAGGCCGTAGACCCAGGACTGAGGCCGTAGACCCAGGACTGAGGCCGTAGACCCAGGACTGAGGCCGTAGACCCAGGACTGAGGCTGTAGACCCAGGACTGAGGCCGTAGACCCAGGACTGAGGCTGTAGACCCAGGACTGAGGCTGTAGACCCAGGACTGAGGCCGTAGACCCAGGACTGAGGCTGTAGACCCAGGACTGAGGCTGTAGACCCAGGACTGAGGCTGTAGACCCAGGACTGGGGCTGTAGACCCAGGACTGAGGCTGTAGATCCAGGACTGAGACTGTAGACCCAGGACTGAGGCTCTAGACCCAGGACTGAGACTGTAGACCCAGGACTGAGGCTCTAGACCCAGGACTGAGGCTCTAGACCCAGGACTGAGGCTGTAGACCCAGGACTGAGGCCGTAGACCCAGGACTGAGGCCGTAGACCCAGGACTGAGGCCGTAGACCCAGGACTGAGGCTGTAGACCCAGGACTGAGGCTGTAGACCCAGGACTGAGGCTGTAGACCCAGGACTGAGGCTGTAGACCCAGGACTGAGGCTGTAGACCCAGGACTGAGGCTGTAGACCCAGGACCGAGGCTGTAGACCCAGGACCGAGGCTGTAGACCCAGGACCGAGGCTGTAGACCCAGGACCGAGGCTGTAGACCCAGGACCGAGGCCGTAGACCCAGGACTGAGGCCGTAGACCCAGGACTGAGGCTGTAGACCCAGGACTGAGGCCGTAGACCCAGGACTGAGGCCGTAGACCCAGGACTGAGGCTGTAGACCCAGGACTGAGGCTGTAGACCCAGGATTGAGGCTGTAGACCCAGGACTGAGGCCGTAGACCCAGGACTGAGGCTGTAGACCCAGGACTGAGGCTGTAGACCCAGGACTGAGGCTGTAGACCCAGGACTGAGGCTGTAGACCCAGGACTGAGGCCGTAGACCCAGGACTGAGGCCGTAGACCCAGGACTGAGGCCGTAGACCCAGTACTGAGGCTGTAGACCCAGGACTGAGGCTGTAGACCCAGGACTGAGGCTGTAGACCCAGGACTGAGGCTGTAGACCCAGGACTGAGGCTGTAGACCCAGGACTGAGGCCGTAGACCCAGGACTGAGACTGTAGACCCAGGACTGAGGCCGTAGACCCAGGACTGAGGCCGTAGACCCAGGACTGAGGCTGTAGACCCAGGACTGAGACTGTAGACCCAGGACTGAGGCCGTAGACCCAGGACTGAGGCTGTAGACCCAGAACTGAGGCTGTAGACCCAGGACTGAGGCTGTAGACCCAGGACTGAGACTGTAGACCCAGGACTGAGGCTGTAGACCCAGGACTGAGACTGTAGACCCAGGACTGAGGCCGTAGACCCAGGACTGAGGCTGTAGACCAGGACTGAGGCTGTAGACCCAGGACTGAGGCCGAGTACTGAGGCCGTAGACCCAGGACTGAGACTGTAGACCCAGGACTGAGGCCGTATCTGGACCAGAGAGAGACCAGATATTTAACAGATAATTAAGTTCTAAATAGTGAACTCAAAATTTTAATCTAACCCACAGGGAAAGTGTCAGTTAGTCGTTAGTGATGGTATGTCTGTATGGATTATGAGTCTGGACTATGAGGCTGGATTATAAATCTGGATCATGAGTCTGGATTATGAGGGTGGATTATGAGGCTGGATTATGAGTCTGGATTATAAATCTGGATTATGAGTCTGGATTATGAGGGTGGATTATGAGTCTGGATTATGAGTCTGGACTATGAGGCTGGATTATGAGGATTATGAGGTCACAGATTGAAAGGAAACGTCTTGATTGCAGGTGTGCCATGTGAACCTTGAGGGCCAGCCGTTCTACTCCAAGAAGGACAAGCCTCTGTGTAAGAAGCACGCTCACGCCATCAACGTCTAAGCCCCGCCCCCGCCGCCGGACGCCACGCTGCCTCCCATTTTATTGGATTACACGCTGGGAATCATCATGCTAGCTGCAGATTACCGAACCGTTAGCATGACATCTGCACCTGTGTCGTGGAGATCTGCGGCTGTTTACTTTTATATCCAGTGCTGAAACTGAAACGCCACACGAGGGTTCGAGTTTTATCTTGAATTGTTGTCACTTTTGAACGCAGTAATCCACGCCTTACTGATCTGAGAAACTATTTACGTTTTATTTATTTGTTATTTGCTTTTGAGACAACTTAAAGAACACGTATTATGCAGCACGAGTCTGGCATCATGCTGTGACAGAACATTCAAAGCCACTAGAAACTTCCGGACAATAAACCACTACTTTTCTCTATCTCTATGATCACTGCGGCTAATATAGCAATGCGGCTAATATAGCAATGCGGCTAATATAGCAATGCGGCTAATATAGCAATGCGGCTAATATGTGCACTTTCATTGTGGTAGAACTGTAAGCGCAGATTTAAAGACTTTAGTTTTTTGTAGCTACAGGACACTGGCTTGGAAGCTAACGCTGAATGAGCCATGGAAGCTAACGGTGAATGAGCCATGGAAGCTAACGGTGAATGAGCCATGGAAGCTAACGGTGAATGAGCCATGGAAGCTAACGGTGAATGAGCCATGGAAGCTAACGGTGAATGAGCCATGGAAGCTAACGGTGAATGAGCCATGGAAGCTAACGGTGAATGAGCCATGGAAGCTAACGGTGAATGAGCCATGGAAGCTAACGGTGAATGAGCCATGGAAGCTAACGGTGAATGAGCCATGGAAGCTAAGAATGTACAGGTGCGGCTAATAGTCCGAACAATACAGAAGTTGTAAAGAAACCATCCTCATAAATACCAGGAGCGTCTGGCCCTACCCATCTGTCTAAATGCTCTTGTCTCAAACTTGTTGCACAATGTTGAATTCTTACAATATTACGTCAAAGACAGAGGCGTTTTCTGGTTTTTTCAAAATAAAATGATTGTCTCGAAGCATCAGGGATCGCTCCTGATGAACTGTGCCTTCCCCTTTAACATTAGTGTAAGTATTGGCACATTCTAGTCATCTCTTACTCCAAATCCTCCTAAGACAGTGCATAGTAGGTGTTCTTTAAGTACAGTGTTTGGAAGCCTCCTGCTCCACACGTGTTACTAACAACATACAACATATATTTATTTACTATGAGTGATATATATATTTAAAGCTAATATATTCACACACATTTAGGGTGTAGTTTTGTGATTCCACTGTCGGACGTCTTCGTGTTTGTCGATTTCGAACAGTTTTCACGGTGATTTATAACGATTTTCTAAAATGACGAACAAAGGAATTGTCACGTTGATACGGACTCTGTGCCTTGGCCCAGTTTGTGTTTGGATCATGTTTTATACACAGCGTGAGTGAAACTGTGTCAGTATTCGATGGTGCTGTCGTCTGGGAAAAAGTGCTTTACTGTTCTTTGTGTTTGTTTGAAGTTACTAACGTCATATCGTGACTGAGGAGAAGCAAAACTCTTTTACAGATTGTTGTTGTTTTTGCTGCATTTCTTCAATAAATAGTGTTTCACAGATTTGTGGTCCAATGCTGTTCTACACGTGTCCACCAGCAGAGGGCGCCTCCGTGTGACTTTTAAATGAGTTTGATTAGAGCTGACTTTACATGAATTACATTTACCAACATTGAAAATAGCAGAGGTTGTTTACTCCCACTGCTACTCCTCACTTTGTTACTTTTATAGAAAATTATTATTATCATGGATTTGAATCTAAAATAAATAATATTAATAAAGCATTGGTTTCATATTATAATGTTATATAATCATTCACTCTGTACACAGTGTTGATAGACAACTACTGTAGCCACAGCTGCCCTGGGGCACACTGACAGAAGCGAGGTCTGTGCCATCGGCCCATTCACAGACACACCAGACTCATTCTAATGTGGGGGAAGTGTAGGCACAGGCCCACTGTTCCCAGAGGTCTCCCATCACAGTACTAACCAGGTCCTGTCCTGCTTAGCTTCAGAGGTTCTTCAGGATTTGGCTTTCACTGCAGTAAGTTTGAGTGGTTAGCCATGCTTCTAAGTTAAGATAAGCTTTAGGGTTCATTTCTTCATGTTTGTTTGTTGCTTATTTTCTTTATGGCACCACCTGAAATCCTGATCCTGGTGAAGCCTAAGCAGGACAGGGCCTGGTAAGCGCCGTGATGAGAGACCTACTCTTTTAATGACTCCGCGTCTGTGCATGATCTGCAGAACTTTTCTTGTCCAGGACTTGAAGAAGTTAATCTCAATGAGACTTTCCTGGTTCAATAAAGTTTCAATAAAAATGCTATCTTTTATCATAAATGTAGCCGTATTCTGTTGTTTGGAAAACACCTTTTTCATGGTCCTGGTCCTGGACTGGTCCTGGACTGGTCCTGGACCGGTCCTGGACTGGTCACTGTTTACAGCAGCTAGAATTTAGTCTTTAGCATTAGCCTTTCAACAAACTGTGCATTATTCCCGTGGTTTAGCACTTAGTAAAAGTGAATAAGGGGAAAACATTGTTTTAAAAAAAATGGTGGAAAAATAAACTTTTTGGGGGATTTCTCAGATTTCCTTTGGTTTGAATCGGAGCAGTCAAAACGACGGCTTTGGGAGTTCTAGCAGTTTCATAATTCCTAGTGTTAAATTTCCGGCGGACCGGAAACGTGTTGAGTCCGAAGTGGGACCTCCTCTCGCAGTGGGACATCCTCTCGCAGTGGGACCTCCTCTCGCAGTGGGACCTCCTCTCGCAGTGGGCCCTCCTCTCGCAGTGGGCCCTCCTCTCGCAGTGGGACCTCCTCTCGCAGTGGGACCTCCTCTCGCAGTGGGCCCTCCTCTCGCAGTGGGCCCTCCTCTCGCAGTGGGACCTCCTCTCGCAGTGGGCCCTCCTCTCGCAGTGGGACCTCCTCTGTGGCGGAGACGATCTGTGCAGCCGCTGCGTGTCTGCGGCATCAGTCCTCCGCACACAGATCCTCAGGAGGACAGAGCACACACACAGATCCTCAGGAGGACAGAGCACACACACAGATCCTCAGGAGGACACACACACAGATCCTCAGGAGGACAGAGCACACACACAGATCCTCAGGAGGACAGAGCACACACACAGATCCTCAGGCGGGCACACACACAGATCCTCAGGCGGGCACACACACAGATCCTCAGGCGGAGCACACACACAGATCCTCAGGCGGACACACACACACTCAGGCGGACACACACACAGATCCTCAGGCGGACAGAGCACACACACAGATCCTCAGGAGGACAGAGCACACAGATCCTCAGGAGGACAGAGCACACAGATCCTCAGGCGGGCACACACACAGATCCTCAGGCGGACACACACACAGATCCTCAGGCGGACACACACACACTCAGGCGGACACACACACAGATCCTCAGGCGGACACACACACAGAGCAGCGCCCTCTCTGCGGTGTTCCTGAAAACACACGACCGCTGGATAAAAAACAGACGAATATTGGATTTTACTCACGCTTTCACCGAGGACCCGACCATGGTCTGAGCTGAGGACGTGATCGAAAACAGCAGAGGTAAGATTTTTACTGGACCCAAAGTTGATTCCGAACCTGTGTCTGTGGAAAACACGCTCCTGACGAACCACGGACTGTCTGTGTCCTCTGCTCACATATATACACACACATATATATATATATATTTACATCAGCTTCATCACGTGACCAGTTTATTACGAAGAACTTTAAAAATTGTCTGAAGTTTTGGTCGTTCCTCTGCGGCCGTAGAACTGTGCCCACTGCAGCTGAAAACACTACAGTAGGTTATTATCATGTTTAAAGCCGTGTTCAGACTTTTATCATGTTTAAAGCCGTGTTCAGACTTTTATCATGTTTAAAGCCGTGTTCAGACTTTTATCATGTTTAAAGCCGTGTTCAGACTTTTATCATGTTTAAAGCCGTGTTCAGACTTTTATCATGTTTAAAGCCGTGTTCAGACTTTTATCATGTTTAAAGCCGTGTTCAGACTTTTATCATGTTTAAAGCCGTGTTCAGACTTTTATCATGTTTAAAGCCGTGTTCAGACTTTTATCATGTTTAAAGCCGTGTTCAGACTTTTATCATGTTTAAAGCCGTGTTCAGACTTTTAATCATGTTTAAAGCCGTGTTCAGACTTTTATCATGTTTAAAGCCGTGTTCAGACTTTTATCATGTTTAAAGCCGTGTTCAGACTTTTATCATGTTTAAAGCCGTGTTCAGACTTTTATCATGTTTAAAGCCGTGTTCAGACTTTTATCATGTTTAAAGCCGTGTTCAGACTTTTATCATGTTTAAAGCCGTGTTCAGACTTTTATCATGTTTAAAGCCGTGTTCAGACTTTTATCATGTTTAAAGCCGTGTTCAGACTTTTATCATGTTTAAAGCCGTGTTCAGACTTTTATCATGTTTAAAGCCGTGTTCAGACTTTTATCATGTTTAAAGCCGTGTTCAGACTTTTATCATGTTTAAAGCCGTGTTCAGACTTTTATCATGTTTAAAGCCGTGTTCAGACTTTTATCATGTTTAAAGCCGTGTTCAGACTTTTATCATGTTTAAAGCCGTGTTCAGACTTTTATCATGTTTAAAGCCGTGTTCAGACTTTTATCATGTTTAAAGCCGTGTTCAGACTTTTATCATGTTTAAAGCCGTGTTCAGACTTTTATCATGTTTAAAGCCGTGTTCAGACTTTTATCATGTTTAAAGCCGTGTCAACTTTATCGTTTAAAGCCGTTCAGACTTTTATCAGTTAAAGCGTGTTCAACTTTATCATTTAAAGCCGCTGTTCAGACTTTTATCATGTTTAAAGCCGTGTTCAGACTTTTATCATGTTTAAAGCCGTGTTCAGACTTTTATCATGTTTAAAGCCGTGTTCAGACTTTTATCATGTTTAAAGCCGTGTTCAGACTTTTATCATGTTTAAAGCCGTGTTCAGACTTTTATCATGTTTAAAGCCGTGTTCAGACTTTTATCATGTTTAAAGCCGTGTTCAGACTTTTATCATGTTTAAAGCCGTGTTCAGACTTTTATCATGTTTAAAGCCGTGTTCAGACTTTTATCATGTTTAAAGCCGTGTTCAGACTTTTATCATGTTTAAAGCCGTGTTCAGACTTTTATCATGTTTAAAGCCGTGTTCAGACTTTTATCATGTTTAAAGCCGTGTTCAGACTTTTATCATGTTTAAAGCCGTGTTCAGACTTTTATCATGTTTAAAGCCGTGTTCAGACTTTTATCATGTTTAAAGCTGTGTTCAGACTTTTATCATGTTTAAAGCCGTGTTCAGACTTTTATCATGTTTAAAGCCGTGTTCAGACTTTTATCATGTTTAAAGCCGTGTTCAGACGGAGGCGGCTGATGTCTTTGATGTTAAAAAGCCGCATTCCTCTGAGAACTTTGAGTTTTTACAATATACATTTGTTTTATTTCTGTTTTGTTCTGTGTTGGTTTACATTTGATTTAAAACACTTAAAAGAGGTTTTTAGCCGGTTTAGATCAGAGGTAGTTTTCTAAGCATTCGTGTGAAGCTAACAGTTAGCATCGCGTTAGCTTCACTTTTATCAATCAGACCAAACTCTTCAGTGTTTTCCACTTCTCCAAACACACGGCTGGATTTGTTTATTTTTTAGCATTATTTACGACATATTTTCGTTGGTAACTGACTGTTATTCCACTGTGAAAATACTTATGTTACTATTATGGACAAACCTGGTCAATCTAAAACCATCAAAAACAAACTGCAAAACACAACATATAAAAATGTAATCTGACAAATATATTTATTATACATGTGTTTTATGCACTAGATTATACAGAATTTATACTTCTTTATTATTATGAAGCTAGAGGTTTTATACTAGCTTCTTTGTTATGCTAAAGCTAGATTTTATTTTATTTTACTATAGTTATTGTATATTTATCTTGTACTGTGTGTTCTGTAATATCAGTTTTGTGTCTCTTTCTGCTGGTGTGTGTGTCTCTCTCTGCTGGTGTGTGTGTCTCTTTCTGCTGGTGTGTGTGTCTCTTTCTGCTGGTGTGTGTGTCTCTTTCTGCTGGTGTGTGTGTCTCTTTCTGCTGGTGTGTGTGTCTCTTTCTGCTGGTGTGTGTGTCTCTCTCTGCTGGTGTGTGTGTCTCTCTCTGCTGGTGTGTGTGTCTCTCTCTGCTGGTGTGTGTGTCTCTCTCTGCTGGTGTGTGTGTCTCTCTCTGCTGGTGTGTGTGTCTCTCTCTGCTGGTGTGTGTGTCTCTCTCTGCTGGTGTGTGTGTCTCTCTCTGCTGGTGTGTGTGTCTCTCTCTGCTGGTGTGTGTGTCTCTCTCTGCTGGTGTGTGTGTCTCTCTCTGCTGGTGTGTGTGTCTCTCTCTGCTGGTGTGTGTGTCTCTCTCTGCTGGTGTGTGTGTCTCTTTCTGCTGGTGTGTGTGTCTCTTTCTGCTGGTGTGTGTGTCTCTCTCTGCTGGTGTGTGTGTCTCTCTCTGCTGGTGTGTGTGTCTCTCTCTGCTGGTGTGTGTGTCTCTCTCTGCTGGTGTGTGTGTCTCTTTCTGCTGGTGTGTGTGTCTCTTTCTGCTGGTGTGTGTGTCTCTCTCCGCTGGTGTGTGTGTCTCTTTCCGCTGGTGTGTGTGTCTCTTTCCGCTGGTGTGTGTGTCTCTCTTTGCTGGTGTGTGTGTTTCTCTTTGCTGGTGTGTGTGTCTCTCTTTGCTGGTGTGTGTGTCTCTTTCTGCTGGTGTGTGTGTCTCTCTCTGCTGGTGTGTGTGTCTCTCTCTGCGGGTACCTGTGTGTGTGTGTGTGTGTGTCTCTCTCTCTGCTGGTACCTGTGTGTGTGTGTGTGTATCTGTGTGTCTCTCTCTGCTGGTACCTGTGTCTGTGTGTGTCTCTCTCTCTGCTGGTACCTGTGTCTGTGTGTGTCTCTCTCTGCTGGTACCTGTGTGTGTCTCTCTCTGCTGGTACCTGTGTGTGTCTCTCTCTCTGCTGGTACCTGTGTGTGTCTCTCTCTCTGCTGGTACCTGTGTGTCTCTTGGCTCAGACTTATCATCATGGTTTACACAAAGGGTTAAAGTGTTTCCAGAATCACACTTTGATCATTGACCCGAGAGTGAGAGCGTTTACACACATTTATAATCAGTTATTTTATGATTTAAAAACACTTCATAAATCCAGATTCAACATCAGACTAATGGGGTCTAGTTTTACCCCTGATCGCGGAGCTCTGGTCTGACATTTTCAGGAAGAACACCTCCATGTATCCAACCTGTTCCTCCTGACACACATTTGGTGTTGAAGATTTTCTCAGATGTTTTGATTGACCTTTGCCACATGGTTTGGATGCAGTTTGATGGTACTACAGACCGAGCCTTAATGCACAGACCGAGCCTTAATGCACAGACCGAGCCTTAATGCACAGACCGAGCCTTAATGTACAGACAGAGCCTTAATGCACAGACCGAGCCTTAATGCACAGACCGAGCCTTAATGTACAGACAGAGCCTTAATGCACAGACAGAGCCTTAATGCACAGACAGAGCCTTAATGTACAGACCGAGCCTTAATGTACAGACCGAGCCTTAATGTACAGACCGAGCCTTAATGTACAGACCGAGCCTTAATGCACAGACCGAGCCTTAATGCACAGACCGAGCCTTAATGCACAGACAGAGCCTTAATGCACAGACCGAGCCTTAATGTACAGACAGAGCCTTAATGTACAGACCGAGCCTTAATGTACAGACCGAGCCTTAATGTACAGACCGAGCCTTAATGCACAGACCGAGCCTTAATGCACAGACCGAGCCTTAATGTACAGACCGAGCCTTAATGTACAGACCGAGCCTTAATGTACAGACCGAGCCTTAATGTACAGACCGAGCCTTAATGCACAGACAGAGCCTTAATGTACAGACCGAGCCTTAATGTACAGACCGAGCCTTAATGTACAGACCGAGCCTTAATGTACAGACCGAGCCTTAATGCACAGACCGAGCCTTAATGCACAGACAGAGCCTTAATGCACAGACAGAGCCTTAATGCACAGACAGAGCCTTAATGCACAGACCGAGCCTTAATGTACAGACCGAGCCTTAATGCACAGACCGAGCCTTAATGCACAGACCGAGCCTTAATGCACAGACAGAGCCTTAATGTACAGACCGAGCCTTAATGTACAGACCGAGCCTTAATGTACAGACCGAGCCTTAATGCACAGACAGAGCCTTAATGCACAGACAGAGCCTTAATGTACAGACCGAGCCTTAATGTACAGACCGAGCCTTAATGTACAGACCGAGCCTTAATGTACAGACCGAGCCTTAATGCACAGACCGAGCCTTAATGTACAGACCGAGCCTTAATGCACAGACCGAGCCTTAATGCACAGACCGAGCCTTAATGCACAGACCGAGCCTTAATGCACAGACCGAGCCTTAATGCACAGACAGAGCCTTAATGCACAGACAGAGCCTTAATGCACAGACAGAGCCTTAATGCACAGACAGAGCCTTAATGCACAGACAGAGCCTTAATGCACAGACCGAGCCTTAATGTACAGACCGAGCCTTAATGTACAGACCGAGCCTTAATGTACAGACCGAGCCTTAATGCACAGACCGAGCCTTAATGCACAGACCGAGCCTTAATGCACAGACCGAGCCTTAATGCACAGACCGAGCCTTAATGCACAGACCGAGCCTTAATGCACAGACCGAGCCTTAATGCACAGACCGAGCCTTAATGTACAGACCGAGCCTTAATGCACAGACCGAGCCTTAATGTACAGACCGAGCCTTAATGCACAGACCGAGCCTTAATGCACAGACCGAGCCTTAATGCACAGACCGAGCCTTAATGCACAGACCGAGCCTTAATGCACAGACAGAGCCTTAATGCACAGACAGAGCCTTAATGCACAGACAGAGCCTTAATGCACAGACAGAGCCTTAATGCACAGACAGAGCCTTAATGCACAGACCGAGCCTTAATGCACAGACCGAGCCTTAATGCACAGACCGAGCCTTAATGCACAGACCGAGCCTTAATGTACAGACCGAGCCTTAATGTACAGACCGAGCCTTAATGCACAGACCGAGCCTTAATGCACAGACAGAGCCTTAATGTACAGACCGAGCCTTAATGCACAGACCGAGCCTTAATGCACAGACCGAGTAAGTAAGGTTAATAAATGTTTTATTATATGACTCGTCTGTGTCTTTACCAATGCTTTTGAGATATTTGTGAAGTATGTTCATGACCGACTTGGTTTTGTGTGATACGCGCTGTGGACAGATTGTCATGGTAACGGTCCGAGGTGGGAAAATATCAGACCGGTAATCAGCCAATCAGAGCGCGCGTACGGTCCAAGTCATATAAAAAAGTCTGTTATTAAGTATAGAGGGTATAATGTAAGATTATTCTGCAGATCTGTCTGTTCTAAATCTTTGGAGATACTTGGAAAAGGGCGAGAGGCTCCAGGTTAGAGCCCTGCACTTGAGCCCTAGGCCCGAGGACCGGGCTTCGGACCGATGACCGTATAATGACCTCGGACACGGGCTCGGGCACTTAGTCATTTTCAGAGATTTACAAACACACACTGAATACAGCGTTCTCTCAATGGGCGTTCACACCGGACTTAACTTCGGCGTCAAAAGCGTCAGGTTTGCATTGAAAGTGAATGGTGAAGCGCGTCAGGTGAAGCCAAGGGGCCCGGTGTCACTTGGCGCGCGTCAAAAGCTTTTTGAAGCTTTTGGTCTGAACGCGCCTTCACACTGTAGTGTTTGTTGTTCTGTCGAGTGTTGTCATTGACGACAGCGTTACCTTCAAGGGTGTTGTAGTTTATTGCAGCTGTGTATCATACAGCTGGGCCTGTGTTCATATCAGTGCGCCGCACTGTATATACTAAGCTACAACATTGTTATTGGAGGTAAACAAAAAAAGTCGTGCTTGATACGGGCTTCGGGTCTGAGAATTCAGAAACCATGTCGGGCCGGGCCGGGCGCGGGTCCAAATAATCGGCCCATGCAGAGCTCTACTCCAGGTGCTGCTGAGGTTGGAGACCCCTGGGGGAAATGATGGTCTGTCCCGAGGTCTGTCCCGAGGTCTGTCCCGACAGAGCAGAACATAAAGAATCAGACACGACATGGAGTCATTATTTACCTTTTACTTTATAGATTAAGATCCTTCCTTTGTCCCACAGTGGAGAAATGTCAGTGTTGCATCACAAGTTACAGAACAGTTGGAAAGAGGAGCACACGGCACAACAATAGCTGTACTCATTAAGAACAAGTATAATCTCTATTTTATACATTTTAGTACCAATCAAACCAGAGCATTGCCACAGACGTCCATGCTGGTCTCTCTCTGGTCTCTCGCTGGTCTCTCGCTGGTCTCTCGCTGGTCTTTCGCTGGTCTCTCGCTGGTCTCTCGCTGGTCTCTCGCTGGTCTCTCGCTGGTCTCTCGCTGGTCTCTCGCTGGTCTCTCTGTGGTCTCTCGCTGGTCTTTCGCTGGTCTCTCTCTGGTCTCTCTCTGGTCTCGCTCTGGTCTCGCTCTGGTCTCTCGCTGGTCTCTCGCTGGTCTCTCGCTGGTCTCTCTCTGGTCTCTCGGTGGTCTCTCGGTGGTCTCTCGGTGGTCTCTCGCTGGTCTCTCGCTGGTCTCTCGCTGGTCTCTCGCTGGTCTCTCGCTGGTCTCTCGCTGGTCTCTCGCTGGTCTCTCTCTGGTCTCTCGCTGGTCTCTCTGTGGTCTCTCGCTGGTCTCTCGCTGGTCTCTCGCTGGTCTCTCTCTGGTCTCTCGCTGGTCTCTCTCTGGTCTCTCGGTGGTCTCTCGCTGGTCTCTCTGTGGTCTCTCGCTGGTCTCTCGCTGGTCTCTCTCTGGTCTCTCGCTGGTCTCTCGCTGGTCTCTTGCTGGTCTCTCTCTGGTCTCTCGGTGGTCTCTCGCTGGTCTCTCTGTGGTCTCTGCTGGTCTCTCGCTGGTCTCTCGCTGGTCTCTCTCTGGTCTCTCGCTGGTCTCTCTGTGGTCTCTCGCTGGTCTCTCGCTGGTCTCTCGCTGGTCTCTCTCTGGTCTCTCTCTGGTCTCTCGCTGGTCTCTCTCTGGTCTCTCGGTGGTCTCTCGCTGGTCTCTCTGTGGTCTCTCGCTGGTCTCTCTCTGGTCTCTCTCTGGTCTCTCGCTGGTCTCTCGCTGGTCTCTTGCTGGTCTCTCTCTGGTCTCTCGGTGGTCTCTCGCTGGTCTCTCTGTGGTCTCTGCTGGTCTCTCGCTGGTCTCTCGCTGGTCTCTCTCTGGTCTCTCGCTGGTCTCTCTGTGGTCTCTCGCTGGTCTCTCGCTGGTCTCTCGCTGGTCTCTCTCTGGTCTCTCTCTGGTCTCTCGCTGGTCTCTCTCTGGTCTCTCGGTGGTCTCTCGCTGGTCTCTCTGTGGTCTCTGCTGGTCTCTCTCTGGTCTCTCGCTGGTCTCTCGCTGGTCTCTTGCTGGTCTCTGAACATGGCCGCTGCAGACCAGGGCGGGGCATTACACATGGTATTATCCATATGCCGGGCAGCTGTGCATTCCTCTGCTCAGCCTTGGATCTGAGTTACAGAAATAACAGAGGGACCGTGGGCGAGGGCGGCCGCGACCACAACAACACCGTGGACCCTCTTCACACTTTTATCCTCTCTCATCGGGACTGGTTTGGTTTCTACTCTTTAGGAATGCGGTAAACCCGGAAGTAACCATAAACATTGGTAGAACATTTCAGGACAAGGATCTGGTTATGGATTTAGGTCCAGGTTATACTTCACTCACTGCTTTGTTCACTTCTCATGTAGTTCCAGAGACTTCTAGTTTTGAAGTAGCTAGCCTTACTGTTAGCGGCCCAGCTGTTAGCGGCCCAGCTGTTAGCGGCCCAGCTGTTAGCGGCCCAGCTGTTAGCGGCCCAGCTGTTAGCGGCCCAGCTGTTAGCGGCCCAGCTGTTAGCGGCCCAGCTGTTAGCGGCCCAGCTGTTAGCGGCCCAGCTGTTAGCGGCCTAGCTGTTAGCGGCCTAGCTGTTAGCGGCCCAGCTGTTAGCGGCCTAGCTGTTAGCGGCCCAGCTGTTAGCGGCCTAGCCACTTCGCAGCGAAATCTTTGGAAACTAACTTTTATTTTCTGTCTATTTTCTAATTGTTGGGGCGACAGTAGCTCAGTTGGTAGAGCATTGGCCTTAAGGCCAGAAGGTCGTGGGTTCAATTCCCACCTCTACACCTTCTCCACCGACTCCCACTGATGACTGCTGTCGTTGTGTCCTTGGGCAAGACACTTAACCCCACTTTGCCCAAAGCCCCCGCTGGAAGATCTCAGCTCCTGTGGACTCACCACCTGCAGAGGGTCAGTGAGGGGCTGGTGCTATGAGACTTGGGTGGCATCTCTGACTGCCACCCCCCTGACCCAGAAATGGATTCAAGGGTAGAAAATGGATGGATGGATAATTGTTTAATATTCGGTTTATATTCAATTATCAAAATTCGAACTCAAAGCCTTAGTGTGGGACTAGCTGAAACAATACTGCAGCCTTCATTAACAAAACTAAGTCATTCTCATCTAAGTGTAAATCACAAGTATTTCTAATCTTCTAATTCTTTACTTTTCACATTATTTTGCTCCAGTAGGTGATACTGAATTACATCTTAAGGCAGGCTACCAGTCCCTGGCCCACAGGTTGAAACACACTGAGGCTCATGTCTGTGAGAACGACCACGTCTGGGGCAGAAACAACAAATTACATCATTCTTACCAACCTGCAGTTTATTATATTCTGTTTTTTAAGTTCCATTTGAAAAAGTGTGTGACATTGTTCCATCACATTCATGAATATGTTCGAAGTTCCACTGTTTTTAATCACTTTTATAAACCAATGCTTGGATTGAAGTCATTTTTATCTTAACTTTCTCAGTCTTGTCTTGAGCCGTAAATGATAAAATAATGCTTCTGCAACAAGAACAAAGACTTATTTCACTGATAAATCTGAAAAATAATCAGATAAAGAGACTTTTCAGACACAGAACAGAAGGAAGAGCACAAGGGAATATTAAACTTTAGAATAATGACGAAGCAAAGTCTAAAATACTGTAAGCTCTACGTTTACGTCTGTAAGCGCTACGTTTACGTCTGTAAGCTCTACGTTTACGTCTGTAAGCTCTACGTTTACGTCTGTAAGCTCTACGTTTACGTCTGTAAGCGCTACGTTTACGTCTGTAAGCTCTACGTTTACGTCTGTAAGCGCTACGTTTACGTCTGTAAGCTCTACGTTTACGTCTGTAAGCTCTACGTTTACGTCTGTAAGCTCTACGTTTACGTCTGTAAGCGCTACGTTTACGTCTGTAAGCTCTACGTTTACGTCTGTAAGCGCTACGTTTACGTCTGTAAGCTCTACGTTTACGTCTGTAAGCTCTACGTTTACGTCTGTAAACTCTACGTTTACGTCTGTAAACTCTACGTTTACGTCTGTAAGCTCTACGTTTACGTCTGTAAGCTCTACGTTTACGTCTGTAAGCCCTACGTTTACGTCTGTAAGCTCTACGTTTACGTCTGTAAGCTCTACGTTTACGTCTGTAAGCTCTACGTTTACGTCTGTAAGCTCTACGTTTACGTCTGTAAACTCTACGTTTACGTCTGTAAGCTCTACGTTTACGTCTGTGGGTAAATGTATTTCCCTCTTGTGCCAGATGTCGGTGTTAGCATCACGAGGCTAATCGTGACAAAGTGACATGTGAGCGCTGCAGTGTTTGTTGTACAGTCTGACAGCAGCAGGAAGGAAGGACCTGCAGAACCTCTCCCTCACACAGCGAGGGTGGATCAGTCTGTCACTGAAGCTGCTCTCCAGAGTAGACTGTGTCCTGCAGGGGGCGACAGTCACGGTCCACACAGATCAGGAAAGTCCAACTCTGTCTCACTGCACAATACTGAAATGATTTCCCTTTTTCTTTATCGCAGGAACTTGCTGCATTGATGGTAGGCTGCTACAGTGGCACGTTCTACTTCATTATAAAGCCTATTTTCTCTGGAAAACAACCGTACAATTGTATCTGTTCTGACGTGTTCACAGAAAAGTAATTAAAAGTTCTAGTTACTAAGTTAAATATAAAAACACTATCATTATCGGCCCAGTTGTGGTTTAATCCAAGCCTTCTACTGTTTCTAAATCTATGTTCAGGGTCAGTCTCCTTTAAGCACAGCCCCACACCTGTACGGCTCTGTCACATGACCTCTGCGTGTTCAGGAATGTCTGACCTCTGACCCTGTGGCTTTCTGACTGATAAAAAGGGGCATAAATGCGGCCGGGTCACATGACTTGACCTCACCAAAAGCAGCATATAGTTTGATTTATCGCCTGGCTTTGGGCAGTTAATCACACTCAGCCATAGATCAGTCTGCTCAGCTTTTATACATGTGAAGAAGAGAGAGCCACAAACTCTGCTGTTTTATTCTTTGATGTTTTGAAGTAGATACTTTGCTTCTTCTTCTTCTTTCCAGGCCTTTCTTAAAACTACTACATTTCATCTTTGCCTGCGCTCGCTGCCAGTCGTGTGGTCCCTAAACTGTTGGTACGAGACACAATACAGAACTTGTGTAATCCCGTCACCAATAACCAATGGATTACACAGATTTATCTCTACTTTAAGGACATTAGTTTCTGGACCATAAGCTGTAATAATGTTGTTTAAGTTCCTGTAACTCTTGTATTGGTGCTGCTGGATGTATTTAACGGAAAGGCCATGGAAACAGCTGTGGATCTCCAGAGCTGATGCTGGAGCACACATTCCTGCTTCCCCTGTGTTTATGTGAACAGCAGAGAGAGAAGTGTGTGATGAGGAGTTTATGGACTTATTGTTTGTCATTTCCTTGAGGCCTTTCAACAGAAGACTATTTACTGACTGATAAAAAGCCAGAAAGTCCTGAACACTATTGGGGCCATTTTTGTTGTCGAGGTAAAATCTTGTATTGACAGATTTTTAAAGCTACAATCTGTAAATCATTATCGTTATGTGAAAGCTAACCCAGAATACACCCATTTTAATAATCGGCAACAGAAGCCAAACAGACATGATATACACTGGTGTCCCACTGTATAAACTTAAATCATCTCTATCCCTGCTCAGCCGTCGCCAGTTCTTCATATCAAACCAATCCATATGGTTTTGCTCTCTCCTTTGCTCACAGTTCCTGGCCTCTCCACGTCTCTCACTTTGGCCTCTCCCGGGAGTCTGCTCTGAGGGCTCCTTCTTTTCCATCCCTCCTCCTCTTTTTCTCTTCTCTCTTTTGACTCCTTGGCGTTCTTCCCTCACCTTCTGCAGCCCGGGAGGATCAGATTACCCCAGGAGGAGGGAGGAGGGAGGAGGGAGGAGGGAGCTGGTCTTGGAGAGGCTGCAGCAGAGGTATAAGGAGGGGGGTGTGCAGGAGATCGAGTTTCACATCTGCCTCCCCCTCCTCCCCCTCCTCCCCCAGCGGCCTGGAGACAGAGTGGCTGAGTCTGGGAGGAAAACATGCAATCCACCCTCCCTCGCGCCTCCACCACCTCCAGCAGATAAATAAAGGCAGTAAAGGGAGGCACAGAGAGACGATTCTTCAGCCGCCCGCCTCCGTCCCCACGCCGTCACTATACTCACGCTGTTTTCATTTCAAACCCAGCTCTGAAATGAAGAAAACCTGTGCAGAGACAGTGGGCCTCTCTCTGGTGGGCCTCTCTCTGGTGGACCTCTGAGGGTCTGAGGGTCCAGTATCGATATTCCAGAGGACAGCTGGACGGAGGCCTATGCTCTGTGATTAGATCTGTCTGGATTACAGCAGACTTAAGGCCAGAGTAACACAATCTAATGCGGCTGGAGAGGCTGGAGCAGATCAGTCTGAAGTGGTCAGCGCCGCACACTTGGCATTTTTATTGTTAGAAAGAGAAAAGGGATAACGTGAACTCATTGACCGCCATTGACGTAGTTGTCGGACACCGGTGATTACTTCAACGGGGATTACAGAAGAACAAAACTAGGTAGAAACCAACTTATTTCTGCTGATCAAAGTAGAGCGTCCAATCTTTCAGAATCTGGTTTCATATTGTACAGTGTCAGAGCTCACATTATTCTGTGGTGAAATCATCAAAAACATCAAAAAAGTGATTCATCTCTGGCACATTCTTAATTAATTACTGACATGCATAGATAAAACCAACTCAAGGACTTTTTATACTTCCATTGGCAAAACTAGAAATTGTATAACCCCTTCCTACAAGTTTAATTTTTCCCGACTTCCTACTGTGAGATTTCATAACACTTTGAAGCAACTTTTGTTAAAGTTAAACTCATTATTCTATCAATGTGCAGAAGCCAGTACTTTTCCCTTGTTGTGTCTATCTGAAGGCCAAGCTACATGGCACTGTGGCAGCTGCTGATTGGAGGTCTCCATGCCAACGCTCTGTATAATACACTTACATTCTGTTGTATCTGTGATCGTGTGCTTTGTTCGTGCTGTCTCTACCATCCACAATAAAACTTGTCTTCTGTCTGAATTAAAGACGCGACCCCAGACTATGTCATCTTCTTCACAACCTTTAGCTTGTTTTAGTCCTGTACCTTTAGCTTGTTTTAGTCCTGTACCTTTAGCTTGTTTTTGTTATGTCCCGGTCTGCTGCACACTGGGGACCCTTGCACGTGTATTCCAATGTGGTTTTACTGCAAACGGCAAATAGTCAGAATCTGGCTGTTTGATCTGGAGCCATGAAACTGCTCCTCCTCCTCTTCCTCCTCGGCCTCAGTCTGATGGAGCAGATCAGTTTCTCTGAGTGAAGGTCACGGAGACGTCCTTTAATCCATCGATCTGGTTGTAAATACACTCTGCTCCTGGAGTGAATAATTCAGAACCCTCAGAACCCTCTGCTCCGTCCTGGAGGCGGGACCTCATTCTGTCCCGTATCGCCGTGGTTACAGCAGTGTTGTTGTTGGTGTGCCTTGGAAATCTATTTAAGTATGGAAATTAGATCTATAAAAGTGATCTGGCCTTCTTTAGGTCACAACAACCCGACTGTAGCTGCTACGACTGTATCTGCTACGACTGTGTATCTGCTACGACTGTGTATCTGCTACGACTGTATCTGCTACGACTGTATCTGCTACGACTGTATCTGCTACGACTGTATCTGCTACGACTGTATCTGCTACGACTGTATCTGCTACGACTGTATCTGCTACGACTGTGTATCTGCTACGACTGTATCTGCTACGACTGTGTATCTGCTACGACTGTGTATCTGCTACGACTGTGTATCTGCTACGACTGTATCTGCTACGACTGTATCTGCTACGACTGTATCTGCTACGACTGTGTATCTGCTACGACTGTGTATCTGCTACGACTGTGTATCTGCTACGACTGTGTATCTGCTACGACTGTGTATCTGCTACGACTGTATCTGCTACGACTGTATCTGCTACGACTGTATCTGCTACGACTGTATCTGCTACGACTGTGTAGCTGCTACGACTGTATCTGCTACGACTGTATCTGCTACGACTGTGTAGCTGCTACGACTGTGTATCTGCTACGACTGTGTATCTGCTACGACTGTATCTGCTACGACTGTATCTGCTACGACTGTATCTGCTACGACTGTATCTGCTACGACTGTGTAGCTGCTACGACTGTGTAGCTGCTACGACTGTGTAGCTGCTACGACTGTGTAGCTGCTACGACTGTGTAGCTGCTACGACTGTGTAGCTGCTACGACTGTATCTGCTACGACTGTGTATCTGCTACGACTGTGTATCTGCTACGACTGTGTATCTGCTACGACTGTGTATCTGCTACGACTGTGTATCTGCTACGACTGTGTATCTGCTACGACTGTGTATCTGCTACGACTGTGTATCTGCTACGACTGTGTATCTGCTACGACTGTGTATCTGCTACGACTGTGTATCTGCTACGACTGTGTAGCTGCTACGACTGTGTAGCTGCTACGACTGTGTAGCTGCTACGACTGTGTAGCTGCTACGACTGTGTAGCTGCTACGACTGTGTAGCTGCTACGACTGTGTAGCTGCTACGACTGTGTATCTGCTACGACTGTGTATCTGCTACGACTGTGTATCTGCTACGACTGTGTATCTGCTACGACTGTGTATCTGCTACGACTGTGTATCTGCTACGACTGTATTCCAATGGGGTTTTACTGCAAATGGCAAATGAATGAATCTGAAGGTCCCGTGTCAGAGGTTAATCTTAGTCTTTTTCATGTTGTGTTTTATGAAATTAACTTTAATTCTCTGTAATGTGTGTGTTTACATGTTTGTATTTATGTTTAGGACCCCTCGTAAATGAGATCGTCTCCGGGGTTTTCCTTAATAATTAATAAACTAAAGTAGTCCACATTCAGCTGCACATGTCTGCTGTGACTCTATGATGTCTGTGACTCTATGATGTCTGCTGTGACTCTGATGTCTGTGACTCTATGATGTCTGCTGTGACTCTATGACGTCTGCTGTGACTCTATGATGTCTGCTGTGACTCTGATGTCTGTGACTCTCTGATGTCTGTGACTCTATGATGTCTGCTGTGACTCTATGATGTCTGTGACTCTATGATGTCTGCTGTGACTCTATGATGTCTGTGACTCTTTGATGTCTGTGACTCTATGATGTCTGTGACTCTATGATGTCTGTGACTCTATGATGTCTGCTGTGACTCTGATGTCTGACTCTATGATGTCTGCTGTGACTCTATGTCTGTGACTCTATGATGTCTGCTGTGACTCTATGATGTCTGTTGTGACTCTGATGTCTGTTGTGACTCTATGATGTCTGCTGTGACTCTATGATGTCTGACTCTATGATGTCTGACTCTATGATGTCTGCTGTGACTCTGATGTCTGTGACTCTATGATGTCTGTGACTCTGATGTCTGTGACTCTATGATGTCTGACTCTATGTCTGCTGTGACTCTATGATGTCTGCTGTGACTCTATGATGTCTGCTGTGACTCTATGATGTCTGATGTGACTATGATGTCTGCTGTGACTCTATGATGTCTGTGACTCTATGATGTCTGACTCTATGATGTCTGTGACTCTATGATGTCTGTTGTGACTCTATGATGTCTGCTGTGACTCTATGATGTCTGCTGTGACTCTATGATGTCTGTGACTCTATGATGTCTGCTGTGACTCTATTATGTCTGTGACTCTATGATGTCTGCTGTGACTCTATGATGTCTGCTGTGACTCTATGATGTCTGATGTGACTCTATGATGTCTGCTGTGACTCTATGATGTCTGTGACTCTATGATGTCTGACTCTATGATGTCTGTGACTCTATGATGTCTGTTGTGACTCTATGATGTCTGCTGTGACTCTATGATGTCTGCTGTGACTCTATGATGTCTGCTGTGACTCTATGATGTCTGTGACTCTATGATGTCTGCTGTGACTCTATGATGTCTGCTGTGACTCTATGATGTCTGCTGTGACTCTCTGATGTCTGTGACTCTATGATATCTGCTGTGACTCTATGATGTCTGTGACTCTATGATGTCTGTGATTCTATGATGTCTGTGACTCTATGATGTCTGCTGTGACTCTATGATGTCTGTGACTCTATGATGTCTGTGATTCTATGATGTCTGTGACTCTATGATGTCTGCTGTGACTCTGATGTCTGACTCTATGATGTCTGCTGTGACTCTATGTCTGTGACTCTATGATGTCTGCTGTGACTCTGATGTCTGACTCTATGATGTCTGCTGTGACTCTATGATGTCTGCTGTGACTCTATGATGTCTGTTGTGACTCTATGATGTCTGTTGTGACTCTATGATGTCTGTTGTGACTCTATGATGTCTGTTGTGACTCTATGATGTCTGCTGTGACTATGATGTCTGTGACTCTATGATGTCTGTTGTGACTCTATGATGTCTGTTGTGACTCTATGATGTCTGCTGTGACTATGATGTCTGTGACTCTATGATGTCTGTGACTCTATGATGTCTGCTGTGACTCTGATGTCTGTGACTCTATGATGTCTGTGACTCTATGATGTCTGACTCTATGTCTGTGACTCTATGATGTCTGCTGTGACTCTATGATGTCTAAAAGTAAAATCTTTGGCTTTAACGTAATAAAGAAGCTAGTATAGCTCCTGTGTATTCTAGTGCAGACATAAACAGTAGCATGTTAGCATGTTAGCATGTTAGCGTTTAGGACAATAACAAAGTCTTGGTAGCAGCTCAAATAGATGTTACAGAATGTGATATTATAGAACATGGAGGACCATCAGCGTTCTCCCTGGTGCCACTGACACATGGTTCTTCATTGCACTGTCTGACATTATTGCTCAACTTAAAAACGTTATTGTCCCTAAGGTGAAAATAGTTTGCAACAGAATAAATACTACTAACAAGACAATGATTACAATAATCCCAGTGAGTGTGTTTGAGAGAATATCTTAATCCAGATTAGTGTCACAGACATTTGCCTCTGACTTGTTTCAAACCACTTCTGTTTTGGACGGACAGGTTTCCTCTGCACACGTGACTTTGGGTGGATCACTTACATTCTATTCATGGGTCTATCTCAGTAAAAGTTTTAGGGCTGGTTTTGTTGAAAGAACTGAGCCAGAAACAAACTGCATCTTGGTCCATTTCCTCTTCTTTTGTCTTTAATTCTGTGTTTGCTGCTTCTTGAATCTCCCTGAATCACAACAGTATTTATCACCTGCTCAGATCAGAGAATAAACCGTTCAGACTCAGAGAAACACAGACAGGGACATAATGTGGATCTGCGTCAGAGAGAAACCCTGCTGCCCTCGTCTGTTGCGCCTCAAACACAGACCTCTTCATTCCTGACCCATGACCTTTGAACTCACCCTGTGCGTCTCCTTCCATCTGGATTAAATTTACCATATCACGATACAGACAGTCTGTTATTCTGACATATCACGATACAGACAGTCTGTTATTCTGACATATCACGATACAGACAGTATGTGATGAACCACAGACGCGTGAACCACAGACGCGTGAACCACAGACGCGTGAACCACAGACGCGTGAACCACAGACGCGTGAACCACAGACGCGTGAACCACAGTAGAAAGCAGCTCGACTGGTTTCTCTGCTCTGACTCGAGGAATCCAGCTGCAACTGTTGCAAACATCACACAGCGTTTTAGTGTAAAGTGACATCACTGTGAACAGTGGTTCTCAAAGTGGGGGGCGCAGGACGAGTGCATGGCACTGTTAGCACTGTTAGCACTGTTAGCATAACACACACACACTTTGGACACATTACAATCTGCAGTTAGGGCTGAGGTGTGTTTTAATTACCATGTGTGAGAAACTGCAATGGACTCAGATGGACCCCCCCTCAAAACAAAATGTGTTTAATGGGGGAGGGGGGAGGGGGGGGTATGTTATCTACAGCACCCTCATGTCCCTCATCTCCCTGTTGTGGAGCAAGAACATGTGACATCACTTTACAGCTCATTGTGAAGGCTCTGGCTTCAGCTGTTCAGGATTTATAACCATCAGTCGAAGTCTGTGACATGTTCATCCCACTCTGAGGAGCACAGGGACTGGCCTCCTGCTGGGACTCTGAGGAGCACAGGGACTGGCCTCCTGCTGGGACTCTGAGGAGCACAGGGACTGGCCTCCTGCTGGGACTCTGAGGAGCACAGGGACTGGCCTCCTGCTGGGACTCTGAGGAGCACAGGGACTGGCCTCCTGCTGGGACTCTGAGGAGCACAGGGACTGGCCTCCTGCTGGGACTCTGAGGAGCACAGGGACTGGCCTCCTGCTGGGACTCTGAGGAGCACAGGGACTGGCCTCCTGCTGGGACTCTGAGGAGCACAGGGACTGGCCTCCTGCTGGGACTCTGAGGAGCACAGGGACTGGCCTCCTGCTGGGACTCTGAGGAGCACAGGGACTGGCCTCCTGCTGGGACTCTGAGGAGCACAGGGACTGGCCTCCTGCTGGGACTCTGAGGAGTACAGGGACTGGCCTCCTGCTGGGACTCTGAGGAGCACAGGGACTGGACTCCTGCTGGGACTCTGAGGAGCACAGGGACTGGCCTCCTGCTGGGACACTGAGGAGCACAGGGACTGGCCTCCTGCTGGGACTCTGGCCTCCTGGGTTTCAGATCCATGCAGCTCGGACGTGGAGCAGTCTTCCTGAGGTTGTGAGACAGTCATCCGAACATATTAAAAACTATATTGTTAGTTCATGTAGTTTTGAATAGTGTTCACCTGACTCTCCTGAGCAGAATATGTATTTTTATACGTACTCTTAGCTTTCACCTGCTGGTTGTTCTGTCTGTGGAGGTGACTGACTGGGTCTGTAGCGTCTGTGGGTCTGTAGCGTCTGTGGGTCTGTAGCGTCTGTGGGTCTAAGCATCTGTGGGTCTGTCTCAAAGCTTGCTTCCTAGTTCACATGCAGGTTTATTTGTATAGCACAGTTCATACACAAGGCAACTCAAAGTGCTTAACAGTCCCTGTGCTCCTCAGAGTCCCAGCAGGAGTCCAGTCCCTGTGCTCCTCAGAGTCCCAGCAGGAGGCCAGTCCCTGTGCTCCTCCCAGCAGGAGGCCAGAGTCTGTTCATACGACTCTAACATGTCACAGATGTACGTTTGTTTGAGGCCTTTGAGAGCTTCTTTAAAGTCTCTTCTCTGAGCCACAGGATGGAGATTATTTTTCTTTTTGTGACCGTTGAAAATGTGGGCGTGGAGTTTGATAAGACCCTCGCCCATAATATCTTTCAGGGTCTTTGTTTCAACTCTCGCAGAACTTGGCTGCTCACGCACACACAGATGAGACGAAGTGTAAATGTTGTGCCCAGTCTGCATTATTCTGTGGGATCTGGGTGTGAAGTGGACTGACGTCTGCTCCTCTGAGAACATAAAGACCCCTTTGAGGAGCAGCCACTGAAAAGACCCTCTGTGCCTCAGCGAGTCTGCAGCTGGGACAAACAACCTGCAAACACATCCACAGTGGTCTAATGACGGAGCCCTGAGGCACCCCTCCCTCACCGAGGCCAGGGAAGAGCCACACACACCGAGGCCAGGGAAGAGCCACACACACCGAGGCCAGGGAAGAGCCACACACACCGAGGCCAGGGAAGAGCCACACACACCGAGGCCAGGGAAGAGCCACACACACCGAGGCCAGGGAAGAGCCACACACACCATCACCGAGGCCAGGGAAGAGCCACACACACCGAGGCCAGGGAAGAGCCACACACACCATCACCGAGGCCAGGGAAGAGCCACACACACCGAGGCCAGGGAAGAGCCACACACACCGAGGCCAGGGAAGAGCCACACACACCGAGGCCAGGGAAGAGCCACACACACCGAGGCCAGGGAAGAGCCACACACACCGAGGCCAGGGAAGAGCCACACACACCGAGGCCAGGGAAGAGCCACACACACCGAGGCCAGGGAAGAGCCACACAACACCGAGGCCAGGGAAGAGCCACACACACCGAGGCCAGGGAAGAGCCACACACAGGATCCAGAGAAATCATTTTGAATTTTAAGATCGAGCAGAGCTAGAGCAGGTTGTTGAAATGATTTGGTGGAGGTGTTTTTTGCCAAAGTAAAGGTCTGATGATGATGATGATGATGATGTGTAGCACTGTCCTAACCAGGTTTTTTTTTGCCGTTTATTCTTTTATGGTAATTTCAGAGACGGGCTCCTAATGTTGTTTCAAATCAAATCTGTAAACTATAGTTCTAGCATTACAATATCAGGTTTTAGTACTTTTTATTTATTTTTTATATGTACTATTTTATTTATGTTAGTTCCTACTGCAACACTGACATTTCCCCAGAGTGGGACGGCTCGGGTTCATTTCTAGATTAAATATTGTGTATTTTCTTTCAGGTTTGACTGCACTGCCTCATGGAGCTGTGTATCCACCTCCACTTCGCTCACAGAGCCGTCCACCAGGTACTGCCTTACACACGTATATATACTGCCTTACACACGTATATATACTGCCTTACACACGTATATATACTGCCTTACACACGTATATATACTGCCTTACACACGTATATATACTGCCTTACACACGTATATATACTGCCTTACACACGTATATATACTGCCTTACACACGTATATATACTGCCTTACACACGTATATATACTGCCTTACACACGTATATATACTGCCTTACACACGTATATATACTGCCTTACACACGTATATATACTGCCTTACACACGTATATATACTGCCTTACACACGTATATATACTGCCTTACACACGTATATATACTGCCTTACACACGTATATATACTGCCTTACACATGTATATATACTGTCTGACACGTGTATATATACTGTCTGACACATGTATATATACTCCCTTACACACGTATATATACTGTCTGACACATGTATATATACTGCCTTACACACGTATATATACTGTCTGACACATGTATATATACTGCCTTACACACGTATATATACTGTCTGACACGTGTATATATACTGCCTGACACATGTATATATACTGCCTTACACACGTATGTATATATACTGCCTGATACATGTATATATACTGCCTTACACACGTATGTATATATACTGCCTGATACATGTATATATACTGCCTGACACATGTATATATACTGCCTTACACACGTATATATACTGTCTGACACATGTATATATACTGCCTGATACATGTATATATACTGTCTGACACATGTATATATACTGTCTGACACATGTGTATATATACTGGACATGTATATATACTGTCTGACACATGTATATATACTGGACATGTATATATACTGCCTGACACATCTATATATACTGCCTGACACATCTATATATACTGCCTGACACATGTATATATACTGCCTGACACATGTATATATACTGCCTGACACATGTATATATACTGTCTGACACATGTATATATACTGTCTGACACATGTATATATACTGGACATGTATATATACTGCCTGACACATCTATATATACCGCCTGACACATGTATATATACTGCCTGACACATCTATATATACTGTCTGACACATGTATATATACTGCCTTACACATGTATATATACTGAGACTGTCTTACACATGTATATATACTGAGACTGCCTTACACATGTATATATACTGAGACAGACTGCTCGTACTAAAGTAGAAACACTGAGAGGAGATTAACCTCTGACCTGAGGCACAGCCGGCCAATCAGAGGGCTTCCTGCTCCTTAATTGCTGTGATTGGGTCATTTGAGCTGTCATTCATTTTGATTAATTGCATTGGAGCAGGAAGAGCTGTGATTACCCTGAGACCAGGGGGAGAGACCAGGGGGAGAGACCAGGGGGAGAGACCAGGGGGAGAGACCAGGGGGAGAGACCAGGGGGAGAGACCAGGGGGAGAGAGACCAGGGGGAGAGAGACCAGGGGGAGAGAGACCAGGGGGAGAGAGACCAGGGGGAGAGAGACCAGGGGGAGAGAGACCAGGGGGAGAGAGACCAGGGGGAGAGAGACCAGGGGGAGAGAGACCAGGGGGAGAGAGACCAGGGGGAGAGCGCGAGACCAAAGGAGGACATGTGGATATGCTAACAGCTTCTTTCAGCTGTTCTCAGTCTAGTCTTGTTTTGAACCTGTTTTTGTTGAGAATTGTTCCTGTATTTTTAAGCTTGTTTTCAGTCAGTCTTTGTCTGCTGCTCACTGGGGCCTCTTGCACGTGTATTCCACTGTGGTTTTACTGCAGATGAGTCTGGCGTACGTGTGTCCCTCCATGTTGGGAACAGTTGTGCCCCTATGTGTTTGTTTTTGAAATACTGCCTTTGTTCCATCTCCGCTGTCTCTGGGACAGGCCACATGTGAGACTGTACTTTCTAGTCCCCAAGTCGGTTTGCTAAGGCTGGGAACTGGTAAAAATGTAAGGATTAGATAGTGATTCTTAACATATCGCAATACAGTGTGTGATTCTGTGATATATCGTGATTCATGTCCCTCAAAGACTTAACTTCATAGTCACAGAAACCTCAGATGGAAACAGAGAAAACTCACAGAAAACACTCAAGTGAAACAGAACATCACCCAAATAAATATCACAATACTTTGGTACTCTATATATTTAATTTAGTGGTAAATATCGCGATACTTTCCCCAAAGTCGATTCTTTGTCCTCGAGTCGATTCTTTCGTCTGAGTCGATTCTTTCGTCTGAGTCGATTCTTTCGTCTGAGTCGATTCTTTCGTCTGAGTCGATACTTTCGTCTGAGTCGATACTTTCGTCTGAGTCGATACTTTCGTCTGAGTCGATACTTTCGTCTGAGTCGATACTTTCGTCTGAGTCGATACTTTCGTCTGAGTCGATACTTTCGTCTGAGTCGATACTTTCGTCTGAGTCGATACTGTCGTCTGAGTCGATACTGTCGTCTGAGTCGATACTTTCGTCTGAGTCGATACTTTCGTCTGAGTCGATACTTTCGTCTGAGTCGATACTTTCGTCTGAGTCGATACTTTCGTCTGAGTCGATACTTTCGTCTGAGTCGATACTTTCGTCTGAGTCGATACTTTCGTCTGAGTCGATACTTTCGTCTGAGTCGATACTTTCGTCTGAGTCGATACTTTCGTCTGAGTCGATACTTTCGTCTGAGTCGATACTTTCGTCTGAGTCGATACTTTCGTCTGAGTCGATACTTTCGTCTGAGTCGATACTTTCGTCTGAGTCGATACTTTCGTCTGAGTCGATACTTTCGTCTGAGTCGATACTTTCGTCTGAGTCGATACTTTCGTCTGAGTCGATACTTTCGTCTGAGTCGATACTTTCGTCTGAGTGAGTCGATACTTTCGTCTGAGTCGATACTTTCGTCTGAGTCGATACTTTCGTCTGAGTCGATACTTTCGTCTGAGTCGATACTTTCGTCTGAGTCGATACTTTCGTCTGAGTCGATACTTTCGTCTGAGTCGATACTTTCGTCTGAGTCGATACTTTCGTCTGAGTCGATACTTTCGTCTGAGTCGATACTTTCGTCTGAGTCGATACTTTCGTCTGAGTCGATACTTTCGTCTGAGTCGATACTTTCGTCTGAGTCGATACTTTCGTCTGAGTCGATACTTTCGTCTGAGTCGATACTTTCGTCTGAGTCGATACTTTCGTCTGAGTCGATACTTTCGTCTGAGTCGATACTTTCGTCTGAGTCGATACTTTCGTCTGAGTCGATACTTTCGTCTGAGTCGATACTTTCGTCTGAGTCGATACTTTCGTCTGAGTCGATACTTTCGTCTGAGTCGATACTTTCGTCTGAGTCGATAGTTTCTCCTGAGTCGATAGTTTCTCCTGAGTCGATAGTTTCTCCTGAGTCGATAGTTTCTCCTGAGTCGATAGTTTCTCCTGAGTCGATAGTTTCTCCTGAGTCGATAGTTTCTCCTGAGTCGATAGTTTCTCCTGAGTCGATAGTTTCTCCTGAGTCGATAGTTTCTCCTGAGTCGATAGTTTCTCCTGAGTCGATAGTTTCTCCTGAGTCGATAGTTTCTCCTGAGTCGATAGTTTCTCCTGAGTCGATAGTTTCTCCTGAGTCGATAGTTTCTCCTGAGTCGATAGTTTCTCCTGAGTCGATAGTTTCTCCTGAGTCGATAGTTTCTCCTGAGTCGATACTTTCCCGTCACTAAAGTTGGCAGGTCATGAATAACAATCAGCAGTTTCATTGATTTATTTCCTGTGCTTGAGGAGGACTGTTGTCCACATTTCTAGGAACCCAATATTCCAATTCCGTCTGCATTTACAGGCGTCACAGTGTGGTGCTGGTTTGTGTGTGGTGCTGGGAGCGTTTGTGAGTGTGTGTGTGTGTGTGTGTGTGTAAAGTTTGTGTGCGTGTGTCTTGAGGCCTCACTGACAGACTGGGAGCAGAGCCGGCCAGTCTGCAGCTCCCAAATCACTGCCATATGTGCACACCACACCATACTCTCACTCACACACTATACGCACACACACGCACCCACACACTATACGCACACACACACACACACACTATACGCACACACACGCACCCACACACTATACGCACACACGCACACACACACGCACACGCACAACACACACACACCATACGCACACACTACACGCACACGCGCACACACACACAGACACTGTCACACACAGACAGACACACCACACCCCCCCTTCACTGAGAGCAGACCAAATCTGCATGTAGGACTAGGAGACGGACTAGGAGACGGACTAGGAGACGGACTAGGAGACGGACTAGGAGACGGACGAGGAGACGGACGAGGAGACGGACTAGGAGACGGACTAGGAGACAGACTAGGAGACGGACGAGGAGACGGACGAGGAGACGGACGAGGAGACGGACTAGGAGACAGACTAGGAGACGGACGAGGAGACGGACGAGGAGACGGACTAGGAGACGGACGAGGAGACGGACGAGGAGACGGACGAGGAGACGGACTAGGAGACGGACGAGGAGACGGACGAGGAGACGGACTAGGAGACGGACTAGGAGACGGACTAGGAGACGGACTAGGAGACGGACTAGGACGGACTAGGAGACGGACTAGGAGACGGACTAGGAGACGGACGAGGAGACGGACGAGGAGACGGACTAGGAGACGGACGAGGAGACGGACGAGGAGACGGACGAGGAGACGGACGAGGAGACGGACGAGGAGACGGACAGGAGACGGACTAGGAGACGGACTAGGAGACTGACTAGGAGACTGACTAGGAGACTGACTAGGAGACGGACTAGGAGACGGACTAGGAGACGGACTAGGAGACGGACTAGGAGACGGACTAGGAGACGGACTAGGAGACGGACTAGGAGACGGACTAGGAGACGGACGAGGGAGAAGGAGACGGACTAGGAGACGGACTAGGAGACGGACTAGGAGACGGACTAGGAGACGGACTAGGAGACGGACTAGGAGACTGACTAGGAGACGACTAGGAGACGACTAGGAGACGACAGGAGACGGACTAGGGAGACGGACTAGGAGACGGACTAGAGACGGACTAGGAGACGGACTAGGAGACGGACGAGGACGACGGACGAGGAGACGGACGAGGAGACGGACGAGGAGACGGACGAGGAGACGGACAGGAGACGGACTAGGAGACGGACTAGGAGACGGACTAGGAGACTGACTAGGAGACTGACTAGGAGACGGACTAGGAGACGGACGAGGAGACGGACTAGGAGACGGACTAGGAGACGGACTAGGAGACGGACTAGGAGACTGACTAGGAGACGACTAGGAGACGGACTAGGAGACGGACTAGGAGACGGACTAGGAGACGACTAGGACGGAAGGAGACGGACTAGGAGACGGACTAGGAGACGGACTAGGAGACGGACTAGGAGACGGACTAGGAGACGGACAGGAGACGGACGAGGAGACGGACTAGGAGACGGACGAGGAGACGGACGAGGAGACGGACTAGGAGACGGACGAGGAGACGGACGAGGAGACTGACTAGGAGAAGGACGAGGAGACGGACTAGGAGACGGACTAGGAGACGGACTAGGAGACGGACTAGGAGACGGACTAGGAGACTGACTAGGAGACTGACTAGGAGACTGACTAGGAGACGGACGAGGAGACAGGACTAGGAGACGGACTAGGAGACGGACTAGGAGACGGACTAGGAGACGGACTAGGAGACGGACTAGGAGACGGACTAGGACGGACTAGGAGACGGACGAGGGAGACGGACTAGGAGACGGACGAGGAGACGGACGAGGAGACGGACTAGGAGACGGACGAGGAGACGGACGAGGAGACTGACTAGGAGGAAGGACGAGGAGACGGACTAGGAGACGGACTAGGAGACGGACTAGGAGACGGACTAGGAGACGGACTAGGAGACGGACTAGGAGACGGACTAGGAGACGGACGAGGAGACGGACGAGGAGACGGACTAGGAGACGGACGAGGAGACGGACGAGGAGACGGACTAGGAGACTGACTAGGAGACGGACTAGGAGACGGACGAGGAGACGGACTAGGAGACGGACTAGGAGACGGACTAGGAGACGGACTAGGAGACGGACTAGGAGACGGACTAGGAGACGGACTAGGAGACGGACTAGGAGACGGACGAGGAGACGGACGAGGAGACGGACGAGGAGACGGACGAGGAGACGGACGAGGAGACGGACTAGGAGACTGACTAGGAGACTGACTAGGAGACTGACTAGGAGACGGACGAGGAGACGGACTAGGAGACGGACTAGGAGACGGACTAGGAGACGGACTAGGAGACTGACTAGGAGACTGACTAGGAGACTGACTAGGAGACGGACTAGGAGACGGACTAGGAGACGGACTAGGAGACGGACTAGGAGACGGACTAGGAGACGGACTAGGAGACGGACTAGGAGACGGACTAGGAGACGGACTAGGAGACGGACGAGGAGACGGACTAGGAGACGGACGAGGAGACGGACGAGGAGACGGACTAGGAGACGGACGAGGAGACGGACGAGGAGACTGACTAGGAGAAGGACGAGGAGACGGACTAGGAGACGGACTAGGAGACGGACTAGGAGACGGACTAGGAGACGGACTAGGAGACTGACTAGGAGACTGACTAGGAGACTGACTAGGAGACGGACGAGGAGACGGACTAGGAGACGGACTAGGAGACGGACTAGGAGACGGACTAGGAGACGGACTAGGAGACGGACTAGGAGACGGACTAGGAGACGGACGAGGAGACGGACTAGGAGACGGACGAGGAGACGGACGAGGAGACGGACTAGGAGACGGACGAGGAGACGGACGAGGAGACTGACTAGGAGAAGGACGAGGAGACGGACTAGGAGACGGACTAGGAGACGGACTAGGAGACGGACTAGGAGACGGACTAGGAGACGGACTAGGAGACGGACGAGGAGACGGACGAGGAGACGGACGAGGAGACGGACTAGGAGACGGACGAGGAGACGGACGAGGAGACGGACTAGGAGACGGACGAGGAGACGGACGAGGAGACGGACTAGGAGACGGACTAGGAGACGGACGAGGAGACGGACGAGGAGACGGACGAGGAGACGGACGAGGAGACGGACTAGGAGACGGACGAGGAGACGGACTAGGAGACGGACTAGGAGACGGACTAGGAGACGGACTAGGAGACGGACTAGGAGACGGACTAGTAGTAGTTTCAAACACGCCTCAAACACTTAACTGTGTATTTTAACGTTTCATTTTTGTTCCTTGTTCTTGAACTGATGAGTTCTTCTGTGAAGTGTGTCCAAGAAAGCACTGTTTAAGTGATTAATTATTATTATTATTTTATTTATTCTGCCTTTTATAAACATAACATCTTCTGTCACATGTTTTCAGAAAGTCTTCACGATTAGGACCTTATTATTTTAACTTTAGCATTTAAACTATCATGAGGTTCTGTTGATGCCTCTGTGACCAAAGTAATCACAGGTTTATGATAATTATCTGATTTCTGTTGTTTTTAAGTGTTTTTCTAACCCTGCTGAGACGGACTCTGTGGGGAACTAAAGGAGCTTATCATAATCCGGGCCGGGCCGTGATACCATGTTTTTATCAGTGGTGTCTAAAAAGCAGATACTAGATTGAACTAATTCATTTACATTTTAAGTGCTAACATTTGATACGTTTGATTTTTTGCTTATTTTTGTGAAGTCATGCTGTACCAAAGCGATGTTCAGGACAGGCTCATGAGGGCTTTTGATTGGTCCTTCTCTATCATGTGTACCTTTCCATTGGAATCACTGTAATGGGAATTTAAGGGAATTATCTGGAATTAACCGTGAATTTTCATAAGTGTAAGGTTGGCCACAGTTGAGGAAAGTGTATTTTAGTTGAATCTGAACTAAAACAAACAGATGCCATTCCTCAGTCACATGGACACAGATCTGATGTTCTGCTGCGATGGAAGTGGTGGGCGGAGCTTTGATGCTAACGAGTTTAAGCTAGCAGCTGTTGGTGGAAAGTGTTCCTCTGAGATCCTCTAAAACATCTGCTCAGACTCACAAGGATTATTATTCATATTATTATGTTATTAACCAGTTACAGTCATAGGAGAAACTCAGGCTGGAGCCACACTGTGTCAGTCCTGGTTTAGTCCTGCTTTAGTCCTGGTTTTAGTCCTGGTTTAGTCCTGCTTTAGTCCTGCTTTAGTCCTGGTTTTAGTCCTGGTTTAGTCCTGGTTTTAGTCCTGGTTTAGTCCTGGTTTAGACCTGGTTTAGTCCTGCTTTAGTCCTGGTTTTAGTCCTGGTTTAGTCCTGGTTTAGTCCTGGTTTTAGCCCTGGTTTAGTCCTGGTTTAGTCCTGGTTTTAGTCCTGGTTTAGTCCTGCTTTAGTCCTGGTTTTAGTCCTGGTTTAGTCCTGGTTTAGACCTGCTTTAGTTCATGTTTAGTTTTGGTTGTTTTCGAGGGTCTTC